GACGTGCGGCCGTCCTGAACGCCTTAAAAGGACATCGAAAGCTGTGAAGTCGGCTCGACGGTTCTAGAGACGGTCCGGCTAAACCAATCGGGAAAAATCTGAGGAGAGACGAGCAAATCGTCTTTCTCGAGCTTGGCGGTGACTGCAGGGCGGTGATGCCTGTAATAAAGGGGACTTTCTAATGCCTACACACACTTTTTACCATCACCGGAACTTCTGAATTCGCTCCTGTGACGGTTCGCAGACGAGCGATATCTACCTCTACACGGGACGACGCCGCGGTGGTGAAAACTCGGAGGCCGAACTCCAGGATTTTTTTTGAACTTTGTATTTATTCTTGTACAGATCTTCGAGTGTTGCTTTTAAAGCCTGCTTGACCTGAATACTGCATGAAAAAGTCATTAAATTCTATATCAGATTATTTAACTTTAAAGTACATCTGAATACAAATGTTCTATCCAGATATGTTATTTAATTCCTGGCTTTGTGTGTGAAACATATCCGTGCCAAACACCTAATTAAAATGTTTATTTCTCCTCAAACCTGCTTCCTGTTGTTATTTCTCCCCCTCTCTCTCCTCTCTGACTCGTCTGAGTGCCAAACAGATTACCGACTGTAATTTTGCGGGAAGGCGGGGGAAACAGCAGGCAGCGTGAAGATGAGGTGCCACACTGCGCCACTGAAGCACAAGAGATTAATAAGTATGGCGGTGCGATCCAAAAAAACCTTCCAACCCTCACCTCTCCCTCCTCCTCATAAACATGCAATGTATTATGCAAATCGTGTCTAATTTGCATATGGCTAATTTGCATATCTTATTGGTTCATCTCTCAGATCACATGGTTAAACTGCTGATAAACGCGATAAGACGGAAACGTGAAGTAAAAATACTTATCGGGGCAAAGACGCCGTGCCCCGGTCCAAACAGGCTTGTAAGAAAGAGACAATGAGAGAAAACAGAAGTCCCTGCAGGCGGTTTCATTTCCACACAAGTCTGTTCTTCCATATGGTGCTAAAGCATCACGAGCTGAACTTTGGATGAACTCAGGTCAAAGGTTCAAGAAGCCGGCCAAGACTAGAAATCACAAAATAACGTGTACCAGGCCGCGGATCGTTTGGTACCGGGCCGCGAGAGTTGAGGCTCGGGTATGAAATGTATGGTTTTATCGTTATTTTTATTTTATCGTTAACTTGGTTTCCCTGGGTCTTTTCCCATGTGTTATGAATAAATCTTGTTTTTTTGGTACTGGCGCTGGTCTTATTTTGCTGTATTCATCCACGACTCCTTAAAGGCCGGTCCATGAAAATATTGTTGGACATAAACCGGTCCATGGCCCGGTTGGGGACCGCATAATCCAAATGTACTCATTGTTAATACTATGCTTTTACTTGGGTAATACTTTGGTTACTATATATAGCTTATTAATCCTTTCATTTTCTGTTACCATGTAATTACTGAGCCGTAATACAAGTGGGGTTTTTTTATACCTCAAGGAGGTGGTGGAGACCAAAACTGGAGTTAAAAGATTAAAAGATTACTGGACTTACATTCCTGAGACAAACGCAGACACGGGTCCAGTGGGATGATAACTTCGCCAGAATGGACTCAAGCTGACACGTGCACTGTAAAGACAGACTGCAGTCATGCACAGTGGTAGCCAAAATACATGCAATTTAAATATAACCAGAAACACAAGTAAAACTTTATATTTGAAGGTAAAGAACAGAGTTTAAGTTTTGAAAAGTTTCTTATGAAACAAGGATTTGAGAAGGACGTCAACACTGGGAAACGAAGAAGAGACGGTTGAATAAAGAGGGAATCTGTCACAACAAGAAAATAAAACATGAAAAATAAAATAAAACATGAAATTACATTTTTTGCATTGATGTAATGCTTCAGTATGCACGACCCTTTACGCTGAAATCGTTTTAAAGCTAAAATCTACATGTTATTCATTAATTTTCAAATGTAAAAATTCACCAAAAAAGCTGAAAAAATAGTAAAGCTGTTGATTTAACAAGTTAAATTACAGTAATTTACTCACAGTCCTGCAAAGTTGAACATTTATGCTTTCCTTAACATTTTCCAAAACTGACTGCAGTCTTTGCCGGCCCTTTCTGGGCCCGGAGCCTCATGTTTGACACCCCTGGTTTAGACAATTCAAACTACTCAATCGCACTTCTCTAGAACCTCACTTTTCAAAGTCATGCTGAAAATGATAAAGAAAATTGGAGTCGAACAAACAAACAGATTGCATCTTTGTGGCTGTATGTACAGACGCCTGCTTCTTACCTGCACTTCTCAGGTGAGCCCCCATCCCGAACCTGAGCACGTTGTTCAGCAGCTTTGATCTCCACAGACATCGTCACCAACTGCAAGGCCCTGAAACCACCCAGTCCTTCTAACCCAGCGCGAGACATAAAGGAGAGGGAATAAACTTCAGCTGAAAGGACTGAGTGATGATAATCGTCTCTCCCACTGAGGCAGGAGGGTTATTGCTTCTGCAGGTGTTACTGAGGTGGCGGTGGCATGGCGAGCGGTCTCCTCCCGGGGCGACTGTCAAAACACCTTTAACGCCGTCCTTCAGCAGCAGCAGCGTGGCAGCACCCAAAAGAATAAAAGAATAAACTAAAACAGAGGCTCTGCGGAAGCCTGATGAATGTTTCATGAAGGAATTATTGCCTGAGAAGGTACTGAGATAAAGTCCCGGGACGTATGGGACGATAAGAGACAACTAGAAAGGAAAGGGACTTTATATTTTTCATAAGCTTCAAAGATGGGTCACAGGAAGACATCTTCAGAAGTCTTCTAACAACTATTGTATGGCTTGTGGCCATTCTTGGAGACATACAATTTTTATATCTACCGCAGTGCACATCTGTCTGGGGGGTAAAGGCAGACTCAACAATTACAAGCTCGCGGGCTGCCTCGAGGAAGTGTGTGATGTATAATTAAGTTCGTCAAATGGGTTTGTTTGCCTCACACTTTGAGTTTCTGAGAAACAAAGGCCACTTTCTCACACGAGTCATGGAAAGTGAAGACTAATTGTTATCTGAAATGCAGCACGAATCAAATGTGACTTTCTATACATCAGGGTCAGGGACGCGGGGTGGGCGACGCAGAGGAAAGCAATTAGAGTCGAAATACATGCAAAACAAAAAAGCTTTAAGCTTTAAGTCAATCTGTGGACTTTATGTGTGATTAATGTGTTACGCAAACCTTTAAAGGAACGAGTTCGGTGTCTGAAGAAGAGACACGGTGAAAACTGGAAATACAGCAGAGGTGAAAGCTCGAGTCTAAATGATGCTACAACTGCTGATAGCAAAGCCCTTTGTGCATTTTTATTTTGTGTGGATATTGTTCACACTCATTGGGGCTCTCAGATTACTAGCTAACATTACAAACTAACTAGCTAACCGAATACACTGCACTAAAAACCTGTGTATGATTGTTTGGTATATTGCCTGTACAGTTGCCCATAATTCTAATGAAAAGCACCAACTTGTCTGCAAACACTTGCCAACTACCAGCAAAGACGTGGTAAAACTTGAAAAAGTACAATGCAAACTGGACCGGAGAAGGTGCACCTTCAAAAGTAAAATTTGTGCCTCAGCATGTTTCAAAAGGAGCAACTTTTTGAAAGGTACTATTGCTTGGATAGTTGCTGGCAACTGTGGACGACTGCTGCAATCACGAGGGGGGATTTGCTAACCTGTCACACGTGTTCTCCTGCAGGAGGTTGCCAGATGGTCGCGGACCAGTGCAACTGAGGCCTTATTCACTTGTCCAAGCCAGACAAATCAACGTTGCTAGCAGTCACATGTCTGCAAAGGCAGTTACACATTCGTGTCACATTTTAAACACAGACTCAGAAGTAGCATGTCCCACTTTTATATTGTCTATGATTCAACATCAGCAGACTAATAGCTTAAGGTTGGATTTGAGCTGAAAAACCAAACAATCCTTCTGCTTCTTGTTTTTTAGAGCTAATATTAGCTAATGCGGGCCTGCTAATACAAAATGCTAGCTCTGCTAAGTCCTATTTAGCATCATTAAATTATTCAAACGAGGTCTAGTAACTTCACCGTCCATTTTCATAGTACTTGATGTTTAATAACCATGTTAGATGAACTCATTAACCATCAGTAAACAATATAATTACAAAATATGCATAGCTAACATTTGCTTTTTAGAGTAATGAAATCTCATAGCAGATTTTTATTTATGTAGCCAAATTAAAGCTAGCTAGCTAAGTCAACTTTACAGCTGACTTTGACTTAGCAGACCTTAATGTTGGCATACATAACATGAGATGCAGAAGTATAACGTCAGTTTTGTGTGCTGAATACCTAAACACTGTTTCATAGATATTAGCTTACACACAAACACAAGTAATAATATTATCACTGCAAATAGCAATCACAGATTTTTCAAGGCTTTTTTACTTCATATTTTGTATCTCCGTCTTTTCTGGGTGAGGAAAAAAAATCATGTTAATCAGGGTTTACAAAACGCTGGGTACGCTGATGAGCCAGGTGTAAATTACCATGTGATCTCTCTGTGCAATGACATCCAATCAATGGGCCTTTCCAGCTGCACTTTCGGAAATTAAACCCAATGAGCAAAAGTGGCACCCATCCATCTCTGTGCTACACTTCCCAACGTAGAATCCCACAGATTGGCCGTCATTATCCAGACAGATCACGTGTTAACAGCATGAAGTGGAAACAGGCTCTTAATGAGCAGCAGCACATGTAATCTACCTCTGCTTGAAAAACAGCCAGTTTATCCTATGACATCCAAGATCGTAATCAAAATGCTTTTACTCACACACCAATGAACCGATTTCAGAGCTTTACCCTCTGAAGCACCGCTGTGCACACATTTTTTTCCAGAATAGCTCCCAACCACGGAGATCCGACCAAACCAGGAAGCCGATATGTCTCAACTGAAGTTTACAGAACCAGCTTTAAAATGACTGACAGCAGACTGGGTGATATTTTGGTTTCATAATCGCCCTTTAATAAAAAGATCCTTCACACGAGACATTAATAAATGAGTCGAACACAATGATTTCCCCGTCCCATGTTTGATTTAATAAGTGTTATGGAAAAATAACTCTTCCGGTTCACTGAGTTCAGACTGCCAAGGTTCATCTTCAGGCTTCCCCTCGTTCTGAACTCTGACATCACATCCTCTCGACCGGGGTCAGACCCAGGATGTCGAAGCTTTTGGCCATGATGGCTGCAGTGGCTTCGCAGAGCAGCATCCTCCACATGTTGATCTTGATCACCTCACCTGAAAAGGTAAAAACAGACAAACGGAGGAAATCAAAGGCGTGTTCGAGTTTATATCTCGTGAACTATCGGATTATTTTCTCAGTAAATACGCATTTTACAAAAGTGCTAGCACAAACCAATCCCATGATGAGTGTTTAACAGGACTTTATTTCCCCATTTATTGTCCTTATGTAGAGGATAAGAAATAACAAGGCAGCTAAAAGATACAAATTCTGAAACAAACTAAAATTAAGGCGGCGATGATGGGAAAAAAGACAGAATAATAAACAGAGGTGAGGTGAGACTGAAGCGGTCAGAGGTGCACTAGACAGCGAGACTAATAAACAACAAAAAGATCAGAGGGCGTGTTTAATGATGCCGCCATCACCCGGCAGCATCAAATAAAAATCAGTGACCTGAACATCTGCATCCGCACACAGCAGCCGTGACAGCCTCGCACTGTCGGACGGAGAAGAAATCCAATAGAAATTAAGTCGTTAATGAGCAGCAGAGGAGCGTTACACAGACAGGTCGTTAAAGGGGCGTGAACGTGGACCCAAACAAGCCGACATCCTGGTGTGCGGTGATGCGACAAGGATGGAGACAGGAGAAGATTTTTTTCCATTTAGTAATTAAACACACACTGATCTGTGGATCGCCATTTTCTCCATGTTGATTTGTTGAAGCCGGCAGTGATCATGTTCCAACGAGAAGGTGGAGTTACTCTTAGGTCACTCTTACTAACAGGCTGAACGAACTCGGCCAGTTTAAAAGATGATAATGGACCCAGCAAAGTGCTTCAAAGCTGCATTCTGTATAACAACCACCAGAGGGCGACTGTTCTGGCTGGAGAAAGAATTGCAGCCCTCGGCTGTGAAGGTTCTCAGTCATCCAGGTCATGGTAGTCTACAGAGCTTGGAAAGAAAAACTTCTGGACTTCTTTCAGTTGCTTGAAGACGTTTCACCTCTCATCTGAAAAGCGTCTTCAGTTCTAAGGTCAAATGGTGGAGAGTCCCAGATTTAAGCCCTGTGGGAGTTTCCCCCAAGGGGGTCCCGAACCCCCTAGCCCCACCCTATCATGTGATTTCCTGAGGTCAAGCTGGTCTTCAAGCAACTTAAAGAAGTCCAGATGCTCTTCTCCAAGCGTTTTAGAATTCCAGCCCTCGGCTCCTGGGATTTTTGTCCTCAGCCATCACTTTTCTTTAGCATCAATCTCAAACTGAGAGCAAGGCCGCTCTATGATCTGCACACAGAATCGCAGGCTTTGTTTGTCCATCTCCAAAAAAGATCGTTTAACGTCATTACAAAGAAACGTTGCTGTAGTAAATCTAAGAAACCCACCAGCAAGGCGCTCTGGGCTCGAACGACCTTACACTGGTGTAGTCTAATAAGCCGTGGGCTCTTTGTTAGCAGGAAGGCTGTACAATGAGTCAGCCCTCAGCTCAGACTAACAGTCCAGACATCCTCTCTCTCATCAGGATTCACTGACGACCTGCAACACATCGATTCCTTCTGCAAAAGCAACAGTGAAAAGTCGAAAATTCAAACCCTTCTTTGCAGCTTCACACTAAACAGTCGGGTCTGGATCCTTTGGCCATCCAATAGGACCTTGGCTCAAACTTTTGTTCTGACTACATTATGCCAAGTTTATTATTTCAAAGTTTGGACAGCTTTGGTTTTGTTTTACAATTTAGGACACAGAAAAGAAAACCGAAGAATTTAAGTACTTTAGAAACACAACTTGGAGTAACTTTTAAAAGCACATTCTGAGAGGAAAGGACGTCATATCAAACCAAACTCTGAATATTCAAATCAAAGTGAAGAAAAAACGATCATCGGATGCACTAAACAACCAACACGCGAACACCAAACTGAAGTTTGGACCCTGACCAGAGAGTTGTCCCCCTGAAACTGATCTAAACTTCGACCCAGCTCACCCGTCTGCCGGTCCTTCTCCACGCAGTAGCAGCTGTCGTAGAACTCTGTGAAGGTGGTGGCGAGCTCGTACACGTAGTCGCACAGCGTGTGGAGGAGCAGGTCGTCCAGAATCTTCTGCAGGATCTCCGGGAAACGCTGGATGCACTTCCCCAACTTCCACTCCTTGTCGTGGTCCAAGAGGATCTCCGTGGTCTCTGCCGCCTTCTTCAGCGTGGCCTCGTCGATTTTGGCCAGACGGGTGATGGATCTGCGAGAGGAAGACAAACGTTTAAAAACCAGTTAAAGAGTCCAGGCTAAAAAGAAAACGACTGCACTCTCATTGGTTGTTGACCACTCCAAAGTTGGTTTAACTCAGGACCCGCCTACTTCATATGAACAGCGGTTATTCTGCTCAACGTGACTTTAAATCACTAAATATCAATGACCTTCGACAGTTTCCACGTCACTGGTCACCAAAACCCTTTCACACGCCCCCGATCTCCTGCTGGTGATGGATGAGAACTCGGCTTTGGGAAAAATGTATAAAACAAGTCAAACCGGTCTGATTCTCCAAGCATCCACTCGGCCACAGTTATCCCATCGTGTTCCCAATAACGATCCATCTTTTATCCAAACCAAGCAGAAGCCGGCTTATAAAAATGACCCGTTTATAGTTCATCGTTTTCTCTTTTTATCCTCCACCTCAACAATGAATAAACCAATTTTAGGAAAATACATGAAAGAAGTGATGTTGGGGTTCATGTTGAGGAAACCCAACATCTCCTAAAACACTGATTAAGCTCAGTTTTTTCCTCCTGTGTCCATGTTCAGTTAAACTGGACGGCCCAGCTCAGGGTTTTAAGTTCTGCTTCTGTCCATTTTTCTCTCTCTTCTTCTTCTCTGAATCTTGAACAGCACAGCAGGGGGCAGCTGAGTGCTCTATTGACTGAACGCACGAACATCGAATCCTCTCGGGCGAGCCTGCTCACCCCTCCCGGTTGGAGGGAAAAAAAAAAAAGAGAGAGAGAGGGGATCAATCCTTTGCCGGGCGCTCTGCCACCCCGACTAACTCCTCCAGGAAGCTGGAGAGGAAGATCAGTGCAGCTCTTGTGCAGCCTGAAGACGCTCAGTCGATGGAGGGGATAAGGGTGAGGACAAATTGGGTCTCACTGAGTGGAAATACCCCAAAGACTAATCCCAAGCCACAACGATCGCGGAGGGTCTGGCGAGGCCGATCTGATACGAGTAATGAAAGTATACTGGTGCTGATGGGAGGTTCTCGTACAGGACAGACGAGAAAAATGGAGGCACTTGATTTAACTTTCAGGATAGTTTCAGTGTCCTAAACTCAGGGTCAAGCAATAGTTCATATAACCGATGGACAGATTACTAAACAGACCGGCTTCTGCATTGCTACATAACTAATCTACTGTTAAAAGAGGCTGTTAGCAGCAACGCCGCTCGTTATTTTACACTGGGTTTGATGGGCTGCATGAAAAGAGCTGCAACAGAGGCGCAAAGCTGCAACTTTTCACTCTATCTCTGGATTTAGTCCGAATCTGAATCTTCAGGTGTAAAGTGAAGCCAAGACTAAGGTCGTCTCAGTGACCGTCAAATGCCAAGACTGCTGGAGAAGACTGAGGTGGCACAAAGACCGGATGGAGTGGGCCACCCAGGTTAAATGTGGAACTCCTGGTACTCAGCCGGGACTCGTCATCCATTCCTCTAAGACTTTCAAACCTTTCCTGTCAGCCAATAACTTTGAACCTTGAGTACACATGTTTGATTTACCTCAGTTTTCATGTGCACGTCAGTAAGGTTGCAAACACTCGACACTTCATTAGCTCCTTTAGGGCTGTATAACAGATCAGGTCTTCCGATTGGTCCACGCTCGTTTTAGATCCAGGCTGTTCTAAACTTCAGAACTCGTCTAAATCTAAATGCTATTTGTATCCTTGTGTGCCTGACTGTGTGCGGGAACACGTGCACTTCTTAAATCTTTTTTATCTAAACTAAGTATTAAAAGTTGTAGTGAACCCTGACCTGATGCGGGTGAAGGCGTAGAGGAGATACGCCGCCGTGTTGCCTCGGTCGTCCAGCATCTTATCAAACGAGAAGACGTAGTCGTTGTTGCGGTTGTGGGAGAGGTCGGCGTATTTGATGCAGCCGAAGGCGACGGCCCTCTGAGCCTTCGTGAGCTCCTCTGGAGTCAGGACCTGCAGAAAGAAGGTTCTCTTTTATTAAAGCAGACAATCTCTCCCCATCGCCGTCTTCGCCCGGCGTGCTTTATGGCATTAAAAATGCTGATAAGTGTCGTTTTAATCAGCTTGTAATTACTGAAGGCAGTGCTTCACCTTCTGCTTCCAACAGTTAAACCAGTGAGATGAATTTAATCCAAATAATGAAACCAATTTACAATCCTCGGGCAGAGATTAAATTGACTTATTGAGTCATAGCCTTCCCTCGAATCTGTGTGTGACGTGTTTGATACCGTAGGGAGTGAAGAGGAGGATTATGAAGATTTCGTGATAGTGATTAAATAAAAAAAATATAAAAAAAACTGCAGTCAAGCAGAACACAGCAGATAGAAGAAGTGACGTGACAGGACAAAGATTAATGGCACAGGTGAAAACAGGGCTGCGAGTAACGGGCAGGTTAGATTTAAGGTCAGATTTGGAACAAATGGCCACTTTTCCACTGCGGAAACTTCCAGCGTTTACACAAACTGGCCTTCGTCTGCTCCTCCAGCTGTTCCCACTGTTACATACGATCAACTGAACTTTCAAATCATTTTGAGATCGACTGAAACACCAAAATCGAACTCGAAAAAAACAAAGATAAATATGATGGGAATACTGGTTATGTAACGTAACTCGGGCTCTATGACCAGAGGTGCACAGAGATGACCGGGTTCAAGCCTTTCCGGCCGATGTGCCAGGAGGACATTTGTCCAGCTTCTGATTTTTTCAGATAATATGGAAATTAACAGTGAAAATATCCTGCAGTCTACATAAGGGTTTGAAATAGGGTTGGGCGATATTTTACAACAAGCGTCAGTCCAATAATCGACGATGGGGGTATATTCACGCATGCGCAGACTTTTGATGGGCGGAGCAATGTAATCATGCACGGACTGATTTGTGCATTTACAAACATGGACGAACTAATTTCCCCCCAAAAATTAGTGCTGTCAGTGTTGACGCATTAATGTGGCATTAACGCGGTCATCACCATTAACGCCATTAAAATTTTTAACACCCTCAACCCATCTGGAGCGCAGAAACGTTGGACAAACTGCCCGAAATGTGTTGACAGAGACATTTCAGGGATTTTGACTCTGTGCTCCAGACAGGTTGTTAATCACATTAGTTGTGATGATGGTGCGCTAACGCTGACAGCACTAAAAAAAGAAATATAAAAGTTGCCAATTTGGGATTTCTTTGGCTTTAAACTAGATGAAAGAGGTAAACCTAAGGATGTAACCAAAGCGGTGTGCCGCTTGTGCAGACATATAGCGAGCAAAGTACTCAAACACGACTAACTTTGTTTCTTCTCTTGACTGCTTCCATTAGCTCCATCACTATTAGCAAACTGACTCAAATAAATAAATCGCCTTTGTAAAAACGGCCGCCGATAGTCGATATATCCGTCCAATCGCCAAACTCTACTTTGCAGTCACTCTGCTTTTCTAAATTAGATCCAAGAGTCTGAGAGTGACTGCAGTGAGGTCGACTGCGATTGTTTGTAGACAGGTTGCCTCGCAACGCAACCTGTGCAATCAGCTTATGACCCAAAGTGGTCGAACAGCGAGCGGTCGAGTGTAAACCTCTGGTTGAACAGCTGTTTACAACATCGAACATGCGATCGCTTATTTTTCCTGAACAGAAAAACAAATCAAGCACTAAAACCTGCAGTTCCGCTAATGTCCACTAGAGGCCGCCTCCAAAAGCGAGTCAGTCCCCATAGACATGTTAAGATGACCAACCTTACAGCCGTAAATAAATCTTCACAGCCAGCTATTAAATACAGTTTTGGTCTCCATCAATACTTTCCACCTTCAGCAACTACAATGGGTGAATTTACATAATTATTCCCAGCGGAGGAACAATTCTGGGCTTTGAGATTCTGGAATATAAAAATGTAAACATAAATATTTTATGAAATGATTGCAGTAAGTGTTTTTAATCATCCTGGCACTCACAGACATTTGTCTCCCGGCCGAATCTTCCATTTTCACTCCATTTATGAACCAAATCCTAAATTCAAATCCCCCTCCTGCTCCAGAGCCTCTAAAAGACATCAATGTGTTTTCAAAATTACCGCAGCAGATACAAGGTTTTCTCATTTTTGTCCCATCTTTTCAAAAGTGTCGAGGGGAAAAAGTTTGAAGTGGAAATTTCCGAAATGTTCTATAAAAATATGAATCTTTAAAACTCTGCCTTCCCCTCCTTTCATTGCATTCTGCCCTGAATCTTAATCCCATCTTTCAAACGGGGCTTGATGTTCTTTTATTTAGTACTAGAAGGTGTATGTTACTTCGCTGAGCTCTCAGAGTGGCTCCAAAGAAACAATAGATCTCATCCCCCTGGTAGCTGTGACCTGCTGATTCAAGGACAAACCTTCAATGTTTTATAAAATCTTGGATCCTTTATTGAATTACAGCAGAACAGAGCGAGCTCTGAGAGTTTAAAGGGAAGCCTCTATAATCCAAGACTGAGAAGCCTCTACTCTAAGAGTGTAGGAGAAAAGAAATAGCCTTAAAGACACATTCAGACGTTTAATAAGCTGGAGCCAGAAGTACTCGACAACTGGTACAAAGACTAGCCAACCGATTACTCGTCTTATCAAAGAAAGGCGTTTTATTTTAATTCTCTTTGTATTTAGTCAGAAATTAAACATATTTATCACCATTTTTTGCTCCTAATACACAATTATTTCTTTTAAATGAGATATCCTGATCAAGGGGTGCAGTGATTCTCCAAAACCAGCGCCTGGGCCGTACCACTTGTTTCTTTAGAAGAGGGTCAGTGACATAAAACAGTCCTGACCCATTTTTCTGATGTGTTTATATTAACATTTACTCAGATTACATGCATATCTTTGGAGTAAGTTTTACTTATATGTGGAGCTGCTGTTTTGAAACGTGAGCGAGGAAGACTGATGATCTTATTTTGATGTAGTAAGAGGAAGAGCAACCATTGAAGAGTGCAGATTAGAGAAAATCCTAAATAAATTCAAACTCGTGCACCCAATTCTTGTTTTAAAAGGTGAAGATAAAAATAAATATATAAAGTAAAACATATACTAGAATCTTTAGAGGATCTAGTGTCGTTAGGTCCAGAACACCTGATTACCAGGTCGCACAGCTTAACGGGGTGCTTTAGTGACTTCATCCACCATATCCAATCAAAACGGAGAACCAGGAATGAGAAATGCTAAAATAATCATAAATATAAACCTTTCTGAGACCCTCAGAGTCCAGCAGAGCTATAGGTGGATGTTTATGACCAAATGGGTTTTTGACTAATATTCTACTCAACCTGGCGACACGTTAGCGTTTTATGTACGTGCCTTGAAAATAAGCGACTAATCAGCTGAGCTGTTACATCCAGCAGATTCTCAGACCAGTTTAATCGATCCCAGATGGCCTGAGTGTTTGTCAGTTTGCGATGCTGAACATACGTTAGCTGTGTGACTTTTTCAGAAAACCTGACCTCTGACCTTGAGGTTACCTGTAGAGGCACCTGTGGTTTTAATTTGAATTTAATTCATAAACACTGCCTGATGCCTGCCCGGCGCTTCAGCCTGATGGAGAAAAAGAATGAACGGCTGAAGTGGTTGAAGGATTATTTTGAACAGTGAATCATGCAAAGCTACTTCGCAAATAAAAATATGGAGCTAGAATGAGGAGAAGAGGCCCCATCATGCTTAGAAAGGTTCCTGCTCTGCACTACGAGCTAAAAAAACCCAAAAACTGAGCTGTAAACTCAACAATCGGTTCCTGCAGCGAGAAATTCTTACAGTCTGGTCTGAAAGGCGCTTTTCTAACAGCCACAAAAGGACAGGTCAGGGCCGGAGAGGCCAGGATGTGTGTGACACACGGGGCAGGATGAGACAGGAAGGGCCAGAAAATAACAGGAAATAAAAGCACCAAACACAGAAGACAAAAAAATGAGGAGAGAGCAAAGTGTGAAACATCACAACTGCTGAAAACAAACATGAAGGAGCAGCAGTGTTAGAGAGCGGGCTGCGGTTCACGGAGGCCACGGCTGGGGTTTGTTTTTAATGAGGCCGGGTTAGCAGATGGTAGACGTGGGCACCGACCCAGACGGAGCGAGGAGCGCCGGGCCGGAGGGGCCTGCAGGGGAGCTGGCACCGGCTTCCTGCAACCTTCTCAGCATTAAAATTGCTGCAGTTCAACTGAAAGTCAGCGACTGCTTGCACCACACCTAGTGCTCCACGTAATAACTTAACCGGGTCAGGTTCTCTTGTTTTTCTCCTCTTTAAAAAAAAATAAAAATCTCCCTGCAAGTTTAACATCACAGAAACACCTCAGCACCAGCAGGTGAGACACAGCGAGTCAAAGTAACGGGAACGTCGAGAGCCTCGCTGTGTGAGGCGGAGAGAGCGGCTAACATGGCCCGGGGAGGGAAGAAAAGGATGTAAACAGGTATTTTCTGAGTTGAATCAGGCAGGAAACACTTCCCACCTCCAAACAACCAAACAAGCAGCTCTTAACGAGGTCCGGGCGAGCCAGTGATTGAGGATCGGGGCCGGGCGGCGGCGGCGTGGTTTGGTTTGAGGAAACGGAGAGGAGGGAAAACCGGACGGGAAACATGCTGGCAGAAGTTTGTTTTTTTGAAGAATGACTTTAGAAAAAGGAAAATAAACAACTCGAGGCTCGAAAGACTCGAAGGACTCTCCGCTGACAAACGCTCAATCCACCGAAGATAAAAAAACGCTCTGAGCCCTGAAATGGGATCGCTGGGTCATCAGTCAAAACGCAGAGGCGCTCAGCAGAGAGTCAGGAAGTTTATGACACACAACTTCCTGCTTTATCTGTGCAAAAACTTCCATTTAACACAGAATATCTGCTGAACTCAAGCAAACTGAGGCAGTCAGCTTCCCTTTTACCCTCCACTAACCTCTGGTTTCCCATGATGCACTTTGCCTCTGTGTTTACACACCAGTCAGCTTTTTATCATTAATTATTACTAATCTCCGTCCCTCTTCCACAGTGTCTTTGTCCTCCTCTCACCCCCAATGGTTCTAACAGAGATGGCCCCGCCCCTCCCTGAGCCTGGTTCTGCTGGAGGTTTCTTCCTGTTAAAAGGGAGTTTTTCCTTCCCACAGTCGCCAAAGTGCTCATAGGGGGTCATATGATTGTTGGGGTTTTCTCTGTATTACTGTTGGGGAGGACTCTTGTATACACTTTACAGTATAACACACATAGTATACTATATAAATACATCTGAAGGGAATATGAAGACTCACTATGGGAATGGATGCAAAGTAAAAAGGAGACGTGGAAAAACTTCAGAAACAAGGAAAAGTGGGAGCATCTAAAGCACGACCACATGGTGATGAACGTTAGCTTGTTTTTAGCGATGTCGTAGCTATATGAGCCGTTAGACGCACGTGTCACATGACTTCAGTTCAGGGTCACCAGGTAGCCTAACGAGCACATCTTTGGACTGTGGGAGGGCAAAGAAGGAAAAAATAAACATTTTCTGTGTGTTCTCCTAAACGTCGATGTTTTTAGTTAACGAAGCGAAACGCTCGTCCCATCGAGCCTCTGATCACCAAGCTTCACGTCTCCCGTCCGATTCTCCTCTCGAGGTCTTTTTAAAGCTCCACGTGTGTGTGGTGAATATTTAACCACGAGTCGTCCTGCTGATTCAAACTCGATCGATGGCGGGAAGTCTTTTTTTTATTCTCCCTCCTGGGTTACATCTGCTGGAATAACTCCTGTTATTGCGATGATGTTATATCCATATTCTGTGTCAAATATTTTATCTTTTATAAGCCGACGTTTGGAGCGGCGAGGGACGCCGTCCAGCGAGTCGCTCATTATTTCTTCCCCGAGCCCGGCTTTCGATTCGCTCCGACGAGGCTTATTTTACAGCAATGACCACCTCGCTCTACAGTAGCCATTAATTCTTCCCGCTCTCATCCCGCTCAGAGAGAGCCAAACTTGGGAGCTTTCTCATCTCGTCCAGACACACTGAGGCTGAAACGCCACCGCCCGGCTGCTTCCCTCTCATCCTCTCAGCCCTGTGTGGTCCTTTCATCCTCCTCTGCTCATGTGTGAGCTCAAACCTCTGCAAACACTTTTCCTCTCGGCTGTTTTGAGTCATTAATCCAAAAAAGAGCAGAACCGTTTGTGTCTGATTGGTCAATTTCACACTGATCGTCCGCTGATGAGTCAACAACAGGAAAACAATCATTCCGGTTTGTAACCTGATCTGTTTTTCATGCCCTCTTTGAGCTCTCCACCTCCACCACACGTTAAAGGCACACGTTTAGAAGTAGCACCGGCTCTTCCTGCTCAGAATACACTGGTTACCCCATACTGGGCTGTACTGGGACCCCAGGTTTGAAAGATCCAATGGGATATTCCCATTGATAACCTGTTTTTTTTTTTTATGTGAAGGCGATGTACCAAACTGTAATACTCAAACGTTACTCTCGGTCGGGTCCAAAGAATGTGACGTTTCCTTATGTTTGAGCAGTGATCATGAGGAAAAAGTTACATGCAGCTCGTTTTAAGGTCACGCTGCAAGTTGTTATTGTATCTATTTCATAATAAGTTAAGGCCCAAAACATTTTTACTGATAATACTAAAAAGACATTTGATGATTAATTCAGTCCATAATATGGGCCCTGAGAAGCATATTTACGATGTAAGATGAGGAAAACATCCAATTTTCAATATTGTCTTCTTTAAAGATCTGACCTGTTACCTTCTTGTTGCGCCTACTTTCAAGTATTTGTAGGTAAATATAAAAAGGTAGATTATTTATTTATTAAAAATTAAATGAAATTATGTTTAATTACACCCATGTTATGAAGTGTTACCTTTTTTCTTTTAATTTCTTTGTGCGCTTTTCTTATGTTGGAGTGCTTTTGACCTCTCAGGGCCACCGTAGAAATCTTCTTGCTTACGTCATCTCGTGGAAATTATATCTGAGTTGAAATGCTCGTTGGCCAGTTAGTTACTCTAACTGGGACTGTTGGTGAGGGCCGTCCCAGTTTCTCGTGTGGAGCCTGAACTCCTCGCTGCCGTGTGAACAGGTGAGGATTTTCTTAAACTTCCCATCAGGTTTTTGTTCTGCCGCATCTGCAGCCTCACCTTGTCTCGCTCCTTCTCCTTCAGCTTGTCCATGGACCTCTTCAGTCCCTCGTCCAGCAGGTCCATCAGCCTCACCGTGTCTCCAGAACGAGTCTTAAACTTCTTCCTGTGGAGGAAACGGCAGAAACAGCGGCTCAGTGCGAGGACGCCGGGTTACAAACCACCTGCAGGGGAACCAGTAATGGAGCTGCTGCAGTTTCACATCCCCAACCTGAACCAGCAGAGGTTCCACTTCCTGTCTCCAATAATTATCATGACAGCAAACTATTAGATTACTTCTGCTCGCCTCGGGGCGATACATTTTGTACAATCAAGCAAATCAGCTAAGCATTACAAGCCGAGCACAAGCCAAAAATTTAATAACCCCCGCCTCCCCTCCCTCCTCTGTTTACTCGCAGCTATAACGGCTCCCCCCGTGGCTGCGTTAAGCTCTTATTGTCTGGATGAGCGATTATGAGAACAGCGTGATAAATTTCTAATGGAGTCTGCCGTAGTGCAGACATAGTGGGGCCAATTTACGCCCCCTCAGGTTACCGCGGGGCATTTAGCGGCACTTAGTTATGGCCTCCGCGAAGCGTAACGTCAGCCCGCCGCCTGAACCCGGCGCTTCTTCTCAGGTCGACTGATTAGGAATAAACAACAACGTGACAGATAAGCGGTCAAATCACAAATCTGCTCACCAATCAGAGCGCAGCGATCGCTCACACGACGACACGATAAAACCCAACGCTCAGAGACGAGGTGCTCAAACTGCAGGACAAAAAAACGGGAACGCGGCGGGAAAAATATATCTGAGGTGTTAAAGTTTATGAACCTGATGACTTGGAATCTACAAATAGATAAAAGAAGAAGAAGAAACAAGAGGAGGAGGCGTGGAAGAAAATGGAGGTTTGATATAAGCAGCGAGAGGACAAAAGAACAGGAGGACATAAAGACAGTGGAGGAAGAGTGAAATGAAAATGTTGAAGAACAAAAAGAACAAGAAGAAGCTCCAGAAAAGGGAAAAAAAAATCAAAGAAAAAGTTAAAGCAGCGGCAGAAGAAAGAAAACGAGGAAATAAGTGGAAGAGAAGGAGGAAAATAGGAGGAAAGGGAGAAGGACGAGGAACGCAGGAGGAGGAGTAGACGAAGAAAAAAATGAAGATAAAGAGGAAAGATGGAGAAAGGAGGAAGACGCAATGGGAAGGAGAAAATGAAGGAAGCGAACGAGCACTGCTGAAGGAGGAAATAAGTGGAGGAAGAGGAGGAGTTAAACAGAAGAACAGAAACGTTTAATTAAACAAGCAGAAGAAGAACGAGAAGAAAGGAAGAGGAGGAGGAAGGAATAATAACACGGACTCTGAGTGAACTTTTTCATCACTGCTGTCCTCCTCTTGCTCCTCCCCTTGCTCCTCCCCTTGCTCCTCCCCCTCACATGCTGAGTAAGGCAGGCTCTGCGATTCGCTGCAAACGACTAAACTGTTTGTGGGGCAGTGGCTGAAAATCCTGCGTTTGATTCATCGACGCAGAAAAAATAAATAAATAAATAAAACGAGCCTTTATGTGAGCAGCGGGAAACACAGGAAGTCTGCCCGTCTGGCGAGCAGAGACCTCGGATCTGAAGTCGGCTTTAGACACATTATTTTTTTTAAAACCCCAAAAAGCAGTTTTATTGTTTTAGTGTTTGTGACGTGTAGTTATTCATTTACTCGTTTACTTTGTGGCATTCCAAAACCGCCGCAGAGCGCCCTCTGGTGGACAAACTACATGACGCGGAAGAGTGCGCAGTGGGCGTCGTCCAAGGGCAGGACCTAACCGCGTACACCTCTGCGTTGAATCCATGTAGAAACTATGGCGTAGCCTTCGCGAGCGGCCGACACTAAAACACTAGTGGCAGGCTGTCCCGGGGGAGGCGGTCCTTTTAAACCTCAGAGTCGTCACATGATCCACCTCAGGTGCTTCAAACCCCACTCACACTTTGTCCCCAGTGACAATGCCCCACCCCTTTTTTCCACCCCTTTTCTCAGCACCACCTCCCCAGTGTGTCTCCACCCGGTGATGTCGTACCTGGCAACAGTCGGGTACCTGCGGCCCTCACACAGCACTCAGAAAAACAAACCCTACTGTCAGAGCGTGTTTTGAACTCACTTGTCCTCCCCCAACACCACTCCAAAGCCAGCGTGCTCCACCCGGGTCACTTTGGGGTCGTACCAGCCGATCAGCTGAGCTGCGGCGAACACCACCTGGAAGTGCGTGCTCTGGAGGGGAAAACACACCCTCCAAACGTCATGTTCAGGAAAGAGACGGAGCTCAGAGTCAAATCCAAACCCTCTGTGGTCGCGTCTCCACCTACCTGTCCACTGTCAGTGACGTAGATGATGATGTCGGCCTTCTCTTCAAAGATTCGTTGGCGAATGGCCGCGAGGTCTGACGTGTCGTAGGTGTAGCCCCCGTCTGACTTGACGACGGTGAGGGGGATGGGCTGCCCTGGGGGGAAGACGACCTTACGACCCTCGTCGAGCTCCATCAGGCCTGAGGTGGAGATTTAAAAGGATGGAGGTGGTTTAATGAGAAGGTCCAGTCAGTCCAAAAAAGACAAGGAGATAAAAACAGGAGGGCACCAAACATTCATGAGGCAATGCTGCCACCTGGTGGTGACACTCAGAAACTACAGGCTGCACTTTATTATCCACTGAAAGAAGAAAAACTGATTCTATAAAGATTTTATTAAAATCAGTGTGATCAAGGGAACAAATAAGCTCTATTTCTGGTAACCCTAAATGCTCAGAAATGCCCTCCGTGACCTTTGACCTGCTGCAAACTGACCTTTCTTCTCAAACTCCTTCACCACCTCAACCATCAGGTCCTGGTAGTACGACTCTCCTCTCTCGATGAGCTCGATGTCCAGGCAGTCGTAAATTTTCTGAAACTCTGGAGAAATAACAAAAAAAAAGAAAAAAAAGAAATAATTAAAACCTGTCACAGGTAGACGGGCTGCTCTAAAAAGGGGGAGGAGCTCCAACGGGTTAAACCCGTCCTCGTGTCACATGACTAATTTAAGGTCAGCAGCTCTGAATGAGGGACGAGTGTTTCATTCCTGTTAGCATGAAAGGCTAAAACCCGACGTACCTGTCCTGGACACGTCACAGATGAGGTTCCAGGCTTTGATGAACTCCGGCTCTTTGCTCTGCAGTTTGACGACACACTGGTACGCCCGCTTCTTAAACTCCTCGTCCGTGTCAAAGCGCTTCTTTGACTCCTGAACGAGAGCACGAGAGACTGTCAGCTCCCTCGTTTCACTGTCACAGTCAAATCTGAGAAAAATGTGTCTCCCACACAATAACTCCAGTTCATCTAATGAAGCCACGAGAACATTTTCCCCTCACACTGAACATGTTCAGAAGCCTCCGGGTCGGTTTAATTTGGGGCTTTTTTCTTATTTCTGCAGCATTTCTGAGCTTTAATAACTTCACAGTTACAGGAAACGTTGACATGAAACCTTCAGGGCTGAAGAACGTTTAAGCTGCACCAGATTCATGTCTGTACCCGAACATTTGATCAGTGTCATGAATGCAGAAACTTCAAAAAGTGCATTCTGGGCAAACTTTCAGGGCTCGCATCACCATGTGGGACAGGTGGCTGTCCCAGGTCAACTTTCTGGCTCAAAGGAACAACGGCAGCCACATCTTTCTGTTTGAGTCCGTTTTTTTTTTTCCACAGAACTTAAATCTGTTTTTCAGCCCTGAAAGTTTCATGTGAACATGCGATCGTGGCTCAAGAGTTGGCAGTTCGTCTTGTAATCGGAAGGCTGCTGGTTCGAGCCCCGGCTCGGACAGTCTCGGTCGTGTCTTTGGGCAAGACACTTCATCCGTTGCCTACTGGTGGTCAGTGCGCCCCAAGGCAGCTGTGGCTACAATGTAGCTGCCATCACCAGTGTGTGAATGTGTGGATGACTGAATGCAGTGTAAAGCGCTTTGGGGTCATAGGGACTAAGTGCGAAGTTATGATGGTTAAAAAACTGCACTTGGGGTAAAAACCTTAAAGGGTCCTAACCCCACATGGGATTTTCCCAAAAGCAGCCCGATCACACACAGAGACGGGATGAGCATGAACTGACTTTGTAGAAGGCCTGCAGGTCACCGATGGGAGGGGAGACGGTCAGGTAGTCCGGAAACATGTCCTGCAGGTGGGCGATCAGCATCCCAAACTGGGTACCCCAGTCCCCCACGTGGTTCAGCCTGCAGAAATAAAAACTAACTTTTTAGATTTTATTTCTTGAAAGGTTTTTAACGTTCGCAGCTACGACACAGCGAGCGCGGCCAAGCTGACCTGAGGACTTCGTATCCCAGAAACTCAAACAATCGGCACATGCTGTCCCCGATGATGGTGGAGCGCAGGTGACCCACGTGCATCTCTTTGGCGATGTTTGGAGATGAGAAATCCACCACCACCTGAATGCAACACAAACACACAGGAACTGATAAATGCAGACGCTGAGACGGGTAAACCCATCACAGGTGAACTCAACCAGCTCCACGTTTTTATTCCTGGACTCTATCAGAGCAGCTTTGCATGAGTCATGGTTCATAATAAGCCTATTTTATGTTTGATCAGCGCCGTTTTGGTGTGTTTAATCAAACTTTTTGACATCCGCCTTAAACCACACACGTTTTTACTTCCTGTCACAGCTTCAGTTTAAAAGCAATCTTCTTCTTTCCAGTGTTGCATTAATATTAATTTCTGTCTCTATAGAAAAAGCTTATTTTGGATTCTCCCTCATTCACATCCTCCACATCCTCTTTCTCTTCTCTGCTTTTGTGAGCATACACATATTTTTTATGTCGCACTTTATATGAATAATTTCAACTCCACACAGATAAATGTGAACGTGACTTTTACAGCACCAAAATAATTAAATGAGTAAATGTGGTTCTTTATTTTTGTAACTGAAATAAATAAATTAATAAAAGAATCTAATCTGTCCATTTTCTGGTTCCTGCTATATTAAACTGAGCTCCTCACCTCATCTCTGCGTCCAGATTGCCTTCACAGGAAGCTCATTTCTACAAGTTTTATGAAAAATTTTTATTTATTAAGAAAAAAAATTTAATTTTCCTTTTCACAACTTGTAAAAAATATTTAAAATGTGAACCTAAAATCTGCTGTAATTTGCTTTGATGTAACTCTATAAACTGTTATTGTTTGTGTGCGTTCGTGGAAGGCTTTTATTGTGAAAGGCAAGGACCAAAACAATAAAACTGGTGGGCGGGGCCTCTGTGGTACTCTCTTTGACATCACACAGAGCCAAGAGTAGAAAAAATGCGCGTGAAACTGTGTTAATACCAGATAATTAGACACAAATAATTAAATCAAATGTTAAAAAAGGGATCAAAGACTTCCGAGGTTAACTAAAAAGGAAAAACAGACCTTCTTCTTGGATGGCAGTGGTGGGGGCTGCACTCCGTTAATCAACAAGTTGCTCAGCTGTTTGGACACAAATGTCTTCTGCAGGTAGATGTTGATGAAACCTGAAAGAGAACTTTTTTTAGACTCACTTTTTAGGCTTTTATTTACTCTAGTTTTAAATCTTTTAATATTTATACAAAACAAAGAATTATTTCTCTTTAAATATGTACACATTTGACAAGGTTCTAAATTAAATTAAATTAAACTAAACTAAACAAGAAAAAGTTGCATTTCCTGCGAAAATGCAGTGTGAATGCCGTGTCGTGGAAATCGGCTTCCGAAAAAAGCTGAAGAAGCAGAACTGTCTGCTGAAAACATGCTGCAATGGGCGAGAGTGGAACCAGCCTCCTGCTCATCTCACTGAGCTAAAACACAGCTCAACACAGCTGGCATTACCAGAAAGAGCTGAACAGTTTAAAATTTGAATGGTGAAAACTGTCGGAGTAGTTAACCAGCAAAGAAACGGAGCAACTAGAATAATAAGGTAGAAGAAGAATAAAGTTTAAAGAGAAACAGGAACTTGATAGCGTTCCTGTTACTATAATTGTGTGAATGCCGTGATGTTTGTGTTGACATCATTAAAAGGCGGAGTCTCTACCTGGCCCCGCGACCTCCGTTTTCTGGACGAGTTCGTTGTCTGGAAGATTTTTGATAATCTTCTCTGCGATCTCCCTCGGGTTCATCTTTATCCCCTTTGCCTTCAGCATCTGCAACCCGACAGCCAGAGACAGTCTGAAGCAAAGCTTTTTAATCTGACCTGCTGAGACCAGGACTCACTGCACTGCTCAATCCTCTAATTTGACTCAATGCAGCTGCAGCTTTTAAAACTGTAAAAATCATAGTAAGCTATTAGAAATCACAATAAGCAACCAGAAATGAAAATAAGCCACGATAATTCATAACAAGCCACCATAACAACCATGATTCATAATAAGCCACCATAGATCACAATAAGCCACCATAGATCATAATAAGCCACCATAAACCATTAAACATAAACACGTCAGTTTTCGGGCGTGGCGGTCTAACCTGGGACATGCTCATGGCGCTGTTGCACTGGTAGTCCCCAAACTTGGCCTGCTGGCTGGGCGCAATGGAAAGTGGCGGGTTGTCGAGCTCGGGACAGGAGGCCTGGATGGCCTCGCCGAAGACCTCCTGAAGTCGCTGGTTGATGTTTAACATGGCTTTGCCGCGTTGACTCAGTGAGTCTTCCTGCAGACTCTGAGGACAGCACAGAAAGGTTTAATGGTTTTTCATCAATGTGCTTTTCTCAGGTTAAGATTAAAACGCCTCAGGACATCTTTCAGCAGAGCGCCACTCACCTTCTTCAGGATGTTGAGGCGGTACTTGAGTCGGGCGTTTTCCTCCTGCAGCTCTTCCAGGCGTGGAGATGGACTGAGGTTCTGGGAGTTTTCAAGATTTTTGATCTCTGCAGACAGACGCTGGATCTCTTGCTCCTAGATATCAAAATATTTCCAATTTCCAAGAAAGACACTGAGAAAGAAAGTTCCAACTGGAGCTGCTCAAGAAGCTTTAACGCGCTCCTATAAATAGTAAATATTTTTACACCGAGTTCCAGCCTGAGAAAATGCTTTAGGGTTTTAAATGCTGCCCATTTTTAAAAGGAACTGTGGAAGTATAAATATTTTTACCTCTATGGCTACGAGCATTACTTACATCAATGATCATTAAAAGAGGACCGAGTTAGCACCCTGTGGTACACCTCAGGAATTATAAAGACACATATATTCATAACCTTTAACTCTTTTTCTGTATTTCACTGTTGATCTCTTATACACCTGTTTTTGATATTTGTAAACTACTGTGCAAAAGTCTTGAGCCACCCTTAATTTTTTTAAAAATCTTTTTCTCTGGATATTAGCCGTTTCGTTTTTACTCCAATATATATACCTGACCATTATCAGATTTGGGGGGGTGAGGTATGTGGTAAGCCAGTTAACATGACCATGAATCATTTAAGTATGAAACAAGGAACCTAATTCAACAAATGAATCAATGTAATTGCGAGAACATAAGACTCACGTTCGGACTTCAATTACAACTTTGTTTTTTTAAATAACTTTAAACACATTTTTTTATTAGAAAAATAAATAAATAAATAAAAAAACAGCCTTGGGTTATGTGAGATTAGACACTTTCACTTTCTTCAGCTAAACAACATCTGCATTCTTTTTAACCCAAATAATAAATGTTTTGACTCAGCAGAGAAACCTGCCAGTTGACTTTCTCACATCAAATCTTCTCAGATCAGGTAGCTGATACATTTTCAAAGCCATTTTAAGGCAATATACAGAAAATAAGGAATTTAATGAGTCCCTGGATACGTGGTGGTCAGGTGGGTAAGAGAGCTGAGCAAATAATAACTGTATGTATAACGTATAAAAAGTTAATAATGCATTTTAACAATTTCGACAGGGTGCACAGCAAAGTTAATATAACCACCTTAGACTAAAATTACACTTGAAAAACATTTTAGTTAAGAAAATAAAAATTAGAAAAAATTTTCTATAAGAGTTAAAACGAAACTAAACAATTTGTGAACTTGGAAAACTAAAATAAAATAAAAATTACATGTTTAGTTTTTCAACCTTGTCAGGGCCCAGGGCTAGCGATTTTTCAGTCGGGCTACCAAAATCTATCTCTGCCCTGCCCGTCGGGCTATTGTAGGAAGGAAAAATATATGTCAATGCTTTTGCATTCTTTCAGAAATGTAGCTGGGTAATTA